ACTTTTTGTTTTTTTTAATTTGTTCTTTGACGGCGGTAGGGGGGAGGACTCTTGGGCCTCCCTGACCAATAACTCACAAGGAAATATCCTATGTGTGACACTGAGATTTTCATTTAATAGATTTTCATTTAATAATCCAGATCTTCTCAGAAAAGCATTGTCCACCTATGCAGGGTATTGGTGTTCAGACTCTTAAAAATATATATATCTTAGCTGGGTATGGTGGTGCATGCCTTTAATCCCAGCACTTGGGAGGCAGAGGCAGGGCAGATCTCTGTGATCTGTGAGTTCAAGGACAGCTGGGGCTGTAGGGAGACCCTGTCTCAAAAAGACCCTCCCCCCAAAAAATATATATATCTTTAATTAGCTTACAAAGTAATGGGTTTCCATAAGATTTGAACCTCAGTTTTGGTTGACTATCTCCCCTCCTCCCTCCATTCCCCCATCTTCTACCCCCAACCATCTGCTTTCATATTCTCTCCCTTTAAGGCTTCTTCCTCTAGAGACTCCAAATTACTCAAAGCTAGGGTTACATATGGGAGAGAGTATGTGTGTGTGTCTTCCTGAGCCTTGGTCACCTCTCTTAGTATAATAATTTTTCGGTTCCAACCTTTTTTCCTGCTGATTACTTATTTTCATTTGAAGTCTTTTGTCAGATATTAGAACAGTAACACCTGCTTGTTTCTTAGGTCCATTTGCTTGAATACCTTTTTCCATCCTTTCTAAAGTAGTGTCTTGTCTTTTGTGGTGATGTTTGTTGGGGCAACAAATAAATGGCTCCTACTTTTTGACCCAGTCTACTAGTCTGTGTCTTTAGATTGGGGGATTGAGACCATTAATACTATTATGGAAAGTTGTGTTGATTCCTCCCATTTTGTTGATTTTTCAGTGTTTGAGTTTTTTCTCTTATTTTAGCGTGGTTTATTTTTCTCCTGTGACCTGCCCCTTTGGGTGGACTAAATCTTTTCAGTTGTAGGATTCTTCCAAGAATCTTCTGTAGGTAGATATGGCTTAGTTGTCATAAATTCCTTTAGTCTATTTTTATCATGGAAAGTTATTTCAATTACAACAGCTAGCTTTGATGTCTGTGTGTTCTGGGTTAGCAGTTGTTATCTTTGAGAACTTGAAACACATTATTCCAAGCCCTTTTGGCTTTTAAAGTTTTTAAGTTGAGTAATCTGGTGCTCTCCTGATAGACCTGCCTTTGTATGCGACTTGGTGTTTCTCCTGACACTTTGATTATGCTTTGTTCTGTGTATTTAGTGTTTGAATTATGACAAAGGGCAGTTCTTTTCTAGTCTTATCACTTTGGTGGCCTAAATGCTTCCTGTATCTGGATTTACATCTCTTTTCCTAACTCTGGTAATTCTCTTATGATTCTTTCGAAGAGTTTTTTTATGTCTTTAGATTGTGAATCTTCTTCTATGCCACCTGTAGATCTCTTCTTTCCATTTAAAAAAATTTGTGTGTGTGTGTGATTTTCATACAGTGTAATTTGGTATTTAGCTCCGCTATTCTCAATTCCCCTTATTGCCTCCTGCCTGATTTAATGTGTGCAATCTTATATATAGGTAATGTGGTCTATGGCATCTAATTTGTGTTCCCAAATGTCTTTAATATGGGTCCATCCACTGGGGTCTCATCAACCTACCAAAAGTCCCATGCTTCAAAGAGACTGTCTCTCTCCATCCCATCAGCCATCTGTTGACACAACTTCCTTAGATGGGATTGGAGCTTCTTACCCACTTCCTCATGTTTATGCTGTTTTTTTTTTTTTCTTTTTTGAGCTTGCATGGGACTTGTGCACGCTGTCACCATTGCTGTGTATTCATATGAAATTAACTGTATGAAAAACTCCATTTTCTTGTGGTCAGCACCACCTGTGGTTCTTTTAATCTGTCCCTTCCTCCATGTTGATCCCTGAGGCTTTGGAGACAGAAGTTTGACATAGGTGTCCTATTCAGGGAGAAGCACTCTGCAACCTCTTATTCTCTGCACATTGGCCAGGGTTTATGTGTTAATCACTATCTCTTGCATAAGGAAACTTTCCTGGTGAGAGCTGAATTAATCTATGGGTATAACAATAAGTTGTTATATGATAACTAGTAGAAAACTAGTATTAGGTTCTCCTCTATATCCTGTGAGCTGTTTAGCTTCAAATTCCTAAGCCTGATAGCAATGTCAGGTATGGGCCACATCTGTTAAAGAGTAGTTGACTACTCCCATTAGTATTTGTGTCACTGTTACACTGGTGTGCATTATCTTTGCCACACCAGTTGTTATTGTAGTTTACAAGATTCACAGCTGGGTAAGGTTGCTAAGTATATAGAAGGAGTTATCCTATAATGGGGATGTTGCCCTTTCTAGACTTCATAGATTTGGTCTTTTCAGAGTGTCTGGGGAATTCCCACTGTTGTTTTCTCATTTTATCTTTGTCCTTGCTATTTTGTTCCAGCTCTCTCCACTGTGTCTTCAAGTCAGATACTGTCCTCTCCTTGATCCAATATATTGCTGAGACTTTCCAGAGTGTTTTATATCTAGCATTTCAGATCATTTTTCTTTACTGTTTTTGTTGAATTCTTTCATATCATCTGTCCCCTTATTTTATTCAGCTGTTTGTTGTGTCTTTGAACATATGTATAACCATTGTTTTGAATTCTCTGTCTCAGAGTTCACTAGATGCCATTGCTGTAGGGGTTAATAATTTTTGGAGAAGTTTTATTATCTAAGTTTTTTGTGCATTAGGATTTATGTATATTATGTTATTTCTTGGCTTGGTTTATTTTTATCAGCTGTATTCTTTCAGTTGATGTATTTTAGTGTTCAAGTGGGACTTGAATGTGGTAGTACTGAGTGGAAAATAATTGCTGTTAAGGATCTCTGGATGTATGCCCTGTAGTGTTCCCTGAGTGGGGATATTAAATGGGAGAGCAACCACAGCTGTTTGATATTACCACTGCAGTTATCATGAGAGCCAATTAGTAACAGTGGCCCCTTTGAGTTCAGTAACTGTTGGAGGATTAAAAAATAAATAAATAAGATGGGTACGTAAGGATAAAGATTAAGTATTGGACTTTGAAAAGAATCTGGTAGGGGAAAGTCAGAATATCATTGTGTTCACAGATTTTGATGATTGTTAAAGCTATGGAAAGTTATAATTAACAAGTAAAAAGAGGAGGGAAAAGGACAAGAGGACAAATCAATGGGGGGGGGCATATGAGATGTGGCTGCAGAATATAGGAAAGAACACCTTAGAGTAAATTGGGTGGAGAAACATAAACTGCAATTGTAAAACTTAACTGAGCAAAACCATCATGAAACATATATGTAGAAATCAAATAGAAAATATAATTCATTCTTAGTTTGGAATGAATCATTGGCACAGCTATGCTTCACTTCATTCTCAGATTCCTCTGCTCTAGTAGATTCCATGTGGTGCTCTCTGAAACAGTTTTTATATTTCTACTTGAAGGTTCAAGATTACCTAAGAAGATTTGAAAGTATACCGGATATGCTTGAATTGGACCACCTCACAGTTTCAGGAGACGTGACTTTTGGAAAAAATGTTTCATTAAAGGTCCGCTATGATTGAAGTTCTATTATACCTTTATAAAATGGATTTCATTCTTTAGTTCTAAATTTACTTTATTAAGGAATAATTCTTAGTGTGAACTAGATAACATTTTAAATGAGTAGAGACTGGTATTAGACAGATTATGATAGTTTTAGTACTATTTTAGATATATTAATTAATATACAAACGTAATTATTGATACAGGAATTCTGAGGAATATAACAGTCAATGAGAATAGAAACATGGGTAATGAAACTGCTGTTTTACTGAAATGTGAGTCTTCAAAACGGGATTCCTGTTAGCATGAGCTCACTAGAGATGGTTGTTTGAATCAAAGTAGATAAATTACAACTTCATTTAGACTGAATGCAGTCTATTCCTATTAAAGAAATCTTTTAGTATAAAAATGTTCATTTAACATTACAGTTGTATGTGTAGTCCAATGTAAGAAATATGAGAATACGGGTATAAGTTAAAGCTCACAACTGAATATATAATAGCCTTTATCAAGTCATCCCTTAGAAACCCTTAGAAACACTGCTATTTCATGTATTCTCATTAAGCTCACTTGATTAAATGAAGATGAAACAAAAGATTACACATTTTAGCTTATACTGCCTAATCTAAAATCTCAAGACATGAGACATGTTATTAGTAAACTTTGGGGGGGGGTGCTGAGAAGTGAACCCTTAGAATTCATGTAAAAAAGTTAGCTAGGCACAGTAGTGCTGCAGCGAGACAGAGGGGCGGCCCTGGGGCTTGTTGTCCAGCCAGCCTAAACTGCAGCACAGTGCAGCACAGCTTGTTTATTGAGATCCAGGAAAATGAGACATTCCCCTCTCAAAAAAAAAGGAAGAGCATCCAAGGAATAACACTCCAGGTTGCTTCCTGGCTTTCTCACACATTTATACATGTGTACATACACACAAACCAACCCTATGTGTAAATATGAACCAAGCAACCTTTACTTTTTCACAAGACAGGATATTGCCTTGCCAGTAAGCCTTCTTGGGGACCAGCTGTGCAGTGACACTGGGTCTGCTTCACTTTTGCAAAAGTACCATATTTATAGTTATAGTAACTCCATTATACAAGGAGTTGAACATGAACTTGACTGTAAGGTAACTAACTGCATTTCAGCTGCAATTTTAAGTACAATCTCAATTTCTTTTTCCCCTTTGGCACTTAGGGAACAGTTATCATTATTGCAAATCATGGTGACAGGATTGACATCCCCCCTGGAGCAGTGTTAGAGAACAAGATTGTATCCGGAAATCTTCGCATCCTAGACCACTGAAATGAAAGCTAGTTACTGTATACACTTTGTACTAATTATGGGCTAAAGAAGTTTCTTACAATAAAATGTTCTCTTAAGATTCTAAAATAATCAGGTACTTTACCATGTTGTACTCTGCAGTGTTGATTGTTTTTAAAATAGCGTGTTCTGCAGTACGCTTTTACCTAAGGAGAACACAGATGGAGCAATACTTCCTTCTTGGAAGACCCTAAAAATTTAGTTCCTCCTAAAGTGCAATATTATTTAATCTTAGAATTGGGTCAGCTCTGCTGGAAGATCTTTTAACAGAAGCCTCAATGATGATCACTTTGAATTGCCTGTGATTTCAAAAATAAAGTGATAAAACAATACATGTGTATACTTATACTTTCTAGTCATAACTGTGAAATGGCAAAATTAGTTTACTTTTGCTTCCAGTATAGATTAGAAGCTTTGTCCTTAGACTATTTACTCAATGACTAGTTGTCTAGTCAGCCCAGTGTTTTGGATTTCTAAGCATCCATAAGAACCAGACTTGACAATATTTAGTGTAGTGCTTGTCCTCTGTTCCAACATTGGGATGCCTACTGTGCTTCCGCAGACTCTCCACTGAATGAAACAGAGTGGCATTTCTTTCACATCCTTGTACTCTAGCTCAGTGTGTGTGTGTGTGTGTGTGTGTGTGTGTGTGTGTGTGTGTGTGTGTGTGTGTGTGTGTGTGTGTGTGTGTTTGGGGGTGGATTAAAATATTCACAAGTTCCCTCTAAAGCTTCACTTCTTGACACTTATTTTCACTCAAAAATATTGATATAAATTAGTTTAAGATGATCAGATCTGCTGGTATGCCTTTCTCAAATAAGTAATAACTTTTCAGTTATTCTGTGTTTGTTTTCAGTGGGCTGCTTGTTTAAAATTCACCATATATTCCACCATTAAAAAAAGTTGCCTTTTAAAGTCTGATAATTTTTGCAGCTTTATTTTTTGACAGTTTAAGAATCAATGACATACCTCTGGAATGATAAAGGAAAGATAACAATCTTTCCTTTTGAGAAACCCAAAAGCACAAAATATTATTTCATTGTACATTATTATCACAAGATTAGGCACTCTTGACAGGGTTGGGCAAGATTGTTAGTGTGAGGCACAGGCACTTTCATTTGTAGAGTGCTGCTGATTCTGATTTTGAAAGTAGGCATTATAAAAGTCTTTAAATAGCTTACTCATCACCTTATATTTCTGGCCCCAACAACACAGCAGCCTGTATTTTGGAATAGCCCTGTTCTTTGTTTATATACATATCAAAAGTAGTTAAGAGGGCCATACTTGATATGTTATCTAAATGTTAATATGAGAACTCATAAGTAGGCATGTTATATGAATATGTATTCTTGCCTCTGCTAGAAATAAAAAGGCAAAGAAAAACACAACCTCAAACCCTTCATAGGTACTTTTATGAATACAACTATTAAACCATCGCCTTGTGTACACCACTTGCAAAAAGTATTTAAATTAGCAGTTGCATAAGTAAATGCAAATGTTCTTTATTCCTTGTAATCAGCCTGTTGTATAGTTAGATGGTTTGAGGCTTTACCCAAGTTGACATATAATGGTAGTAAAAAGATTAAATATGTAACACACAAACCTGAAACTTGACATTGGTCACTAAAACAAAAACTGAATTCCTAAATCCAAGCAATCAAAAGTTGTTTATTTTTTATAGAAAGATATGTAAAAAAATAATTTTTCAAACAGCTTTACTTTTATAGAGAAAACTTTCTACAGAGGTTGTCTAAGATTTTAATATTCTAAATTGTACCATCATTAAATAAGGTGGGACGCCATAGGAATTTCATTGCACTGGGAGAAATGCAAAGCATTTTTAATATAAAGTATACAGAGCATTCTAGTCAACTACAGCTGTGTTACAGCTATGTGTTCTTTTGGATTTGGTCCAAAGAAACCTGAGTCTGTTTCCAGAGAGAATGAAAAATGTTATAGACACCTGATCAGTTACTCCTAACCAAAGGATGCACAAAAAATGGCATTCTTTGTAGATCCCACTGAGTCCAGTTTCCCAATACCGATGCTTCCTTTTCCCTTTCCCCCACCTCAGTTCACTTTGGGTTTCAGGTTCAGTTCTTACAACACCAGGCCTCCAGGTTTTCTTCAGAAACACATCCCATGGTCAGATGCACTACTGAGTTTTCCAGCTTGTCATCACCTCTTCTGTTCCCAGATCTCAGCCATATTTAGATCCAAATCTTTAAGGCCTTTTAAGGCTTGAAGATTTCCAGTGTAAAAAGCTACATCTGCTGTGACCAACCTAAATATTGGAGAGAAAATTGTTTTTAATTTTCACATTTTCTATTCAAATGATAAAGGAGTAACATTCAGATTCCTACCCTAGCTGTAGAATAGTTTTAAAATTCAGAATTCCTAGGGATGAAATGTTGACACTTAGGATTCTTGCCATTGTATGACCATTTAATGCTGTTTTAATGACCTTTGGAAAAGGAATAAACCAGTGCATGTTACAATCAGTTTCATGGTTTATTCTGCTCAATAAAATCAGACTTAAATTAGCATGAAAATAAATGTTTTCAGTTGCTGTCACTGGTGTGTGTATATGAAGCACTAAGAAAGGCTGGCCAGGTTTCCTCAGTAGCACTGAGAAATTCACTGAAAGCTGGGAGCTCCCAGGTAAGCACTGCCGGGTAGAAGCTTGATGCTGCGGGGCTGGAGAGTATAGTTTGGTGGTAGAGTACTTGCCTAGCTAGCATGGGTGAGGCCTGGATTTGGTCCCTAGTACCACATACAGACATACAAAAAAAAGGCCACAAAGAAAAACATTTGACCAATATCACAATCTGATGAATGAAGAAACTTCACTTTCGTGTACGGAGCCCTCAGGATCTTGCCTGCAGACCCTCAACTATGTAAGTAGGAGCTGCTTAGCCTTTCACAAACTCAAAATGCACACTGTATTTTTCTTCTAAATAGGGATTTGCTGACTCTACTCTGTTCCCCCTTTTTTTCAGTTCAGGTATGATTTAAACTTCTACAGAGAAGTTTGGAAAACAATTGTTAAAGGATTTTCACAAGAGGGAATACACTAACAGATTTCTGTGGAGTGGAGAGGGTTGCTAGGTATTGAACTCCAGGACTTAGGAATGCTAGGCAATCGCTGTCTCAAGTTAACTTCCAACCTAAATAGAAGATTGTGAATTTTTTTAAAGGCTTATTGTTTTAAATTAATGTCTGCAGAGCAAAGACTTTCTCTATCCACAAAATGCCTCAGAGGACCACCATCAAAGAACCTTTATGCAGTTATTTCAATAGGAAATTGAAATAATAGATGGCAACTGGAGTCTTAGGGTAAATGGGTGAGACAGCTCATTTCATTCATTTGGAAAAAACCTGCACTTCATAAATATGCAATACTAGAATTCTCACGTTTCTAGTAGCTTAGCATTCTAGATTGGGACTCAGTTCTAAGAATAAAATACTATATATTTTTGGAAAGTGTAACTCATTAAAAGCCACCTGTGGTTTAAGTTATTTAAGTAGTTTCTTAAGGGATCTTCGCTTTGCCATCAGACCCTAACAATTGGAGTATAACAAATGTTAGTGAAATAAGTGAAACTCCTAATACACAGAAGTGCTGCCTGACGTTAAATGTTTACTGAGCTATGCTAGTCATGAGTTCATATTCTAACACCGGCAGTCACCTAAGGTTAGACTTGGAAAGCGCACACCTTTCCTTGAAGCCACTCGGATCAGCACTGAAATGACCGAGGAAAGCAACACTGCAAGTTATTCAGACCTGGGAGTGTTTAAAACAAAAATCTTACCAAGATTTCATTCTGAGTGCAGGGACTTAAATGAACTGCAAACCAAAACATCCCTCCGAACCACTCACAGTCCAGATTCTTTAAATGAAAATAATCTATGGCTCATAAATCCCTATCTTGAGTGGCCAGTCTGTATAAGGCCTTTACAGCTAAAGAAAATGAGTAACATTTAATATGCTTTAAAATACTTTATGATACTTCATTTTTTTTCCCACCATTATGCCTGATGTGACCAAGGCAAAAAGAGCTGCTCTTGGGACACCTGAAGCAAATACATGTGTAGGCATGGCTCTTGCTCCAGGTCCAAGTTGTCAACTGTTAACACTGAGCTGGAGGGCAAGCTAAATTACAAGGAAAAGCAGGAATCCAAATTATCTTCCATCTTCAAAGTACTGTATGATCATTTCATTACTACTTATTTTTTTTTATTTTTTTAATGTATTGAAAAATTTTTTAAATATTTTATTTTTATGTGTATGACTGTATGGCCTGCATGTAGGTAAGTGCACCCATGTCGTGCAATGCCTGCAGAGGACAGAAGAAGCTGTCAGATACCCTGGAACTGGAGTTACAGACAGTTGTTAGCTGCCATGCAGTTACTGGGATTTTTATTATTTTTTATTTTATGTGCCTGCATGCAGATCGGTGCACCCATGTTGTACAATGTCCGCGATGGTCAGAAGAGGGAGTCAAATCCCCTAGAACTGGAGTTAGAGATGGTTGTTAGTCACCATGTGGGTGCTGGGAATAGAACCCGGGTCCTTTGCAAGAGCAGTCGTGCTCTTAACCGCTGAGCCATTTCTCCAGCCCTTCATTACTACCTTTAAACTGATTCTGAATCAAGGAAGAGAAGAGGTTATTAAGCATCTCTGGTTTCTAAAGAGAAAGAATACATTTCTCTTGCTTTTGATTTAATTTTCCTAACATTACCTATAATCGGTATTGTATCATTCACATAAAGGTAGTTTTCGGATGTCTAATCTCGATTTAAATTTCACATATTCTGTGGATCCCATAGGTAAACAAAAATAGTATTCTATGAAGAAAATAGCACTAGTCATACTTCTTGCTTCTTGTGATAAAAATACACTGACACTGAAAGCAAAGGCTTAAAAAGAAAATCTAGTAAATCAAGGGCCACAGAGATGGCTCAGTAGGTAAAGGCTCTTGCCACCAAGCCTGATGAACTGAGTTTGATCCCTGGGACCCACATGGAAGAAGAACTGACTTAAATTGTCTTCTGCCCACCACTTGTGAGCCATGGTGCATGCACACACAAAATGTAATACAAAGAATACAAAATAAAATGTAATAAAAAGTTTAAATGTTATCAATATCTGCATTTAGTAAACTAAAAGTCAGTATAGGAATATGGATAAAAAATACATGTTGAAAACTGTGTTCAATTAAGGAACATAAAGAAAAGCAGATATAACCAACAACGGATTAGAGAGCAAGAAAATCAAGAAAATGAAAAGAAAGCCCAAGAGAAAATTGGGGGAAAACCATGAATTAGTAAA